CTATAGTTCTTTCTCTGGATGTGGATAGCATTTTCCATCATTAGTCTTTTGGAACTATCTTAGATCCTTGCATTGCTGAGAAGGGCTAAGTCTATCAAAGCTGGTCATCACACAACATTATCGTTGCTGTGTACAGTGTTCCACTGGCTCTGCTCACTTCACTCAGCACCAGTACATCATGTCTTTTCAGGTTTTTCTCTCCTCCTGCTCATCATTTCTTATGGAATGATAGTATTCCATTACATTAATATACCACAGCTTTTCAGCCATTCCCCAATTGATGGGCATCCCCTCAACTTCCAATTGTTGGCCACCACAAAAAGAGCTGCTATAAATATTTTTGTACATGTGGGTCCTTTTCCCTTTTTTATGATATCTTTGGGATACCGACTTAGAAGTGGTATTACTGGATCAAAGAGTATGCACAGTTTTATAGCCCTTTGGGCATAGTTTCAAATTGCTCTCCAGAATGGTTGGACAGTTCACAATTCCATCAACAATGCATTAGTGTTCCAGTTTTCCCACACCTTCTCCAACATTTATCACTTTCCTGTTTTGTCATGTCAGCCAATCTGATAGGTGTGATGTGGTACTTCAGAGTTGTTTTGATTTGCATTTCTCTAATCAATAGTGATTTAGAGCATTTCTTCATACGATACCTTTAATTTCTTTATCTGAAAATTGCCTGTTCATATTCTTTGACCATTTATCAACTGGAGAATGACTTGCAACACACAAGCGAGTTCTTCTGGGCTAGCAACTGAAGACTCTTAACTAAAAAAAATTTTAACCACATTGAATATGCCCAAGCCACTCAGTAAAATAAGTAATAAAAAACAGGCCTGACAATGAATTTATCTAGTTTTTAAATTCTACATCATTACACAGAATAGTAACAGACCAGAAATCAGGCAGCCTAAACAAGAAGTTTTCCTATTTGCAAGAATTCAGTGTTTCCACTATTATTCAAAATTCTACAAAATCATCAATCACCCTACTTTATAGGATAATCATGGAAACTGTTCAAGTTCAGTGACATGAACAGATATACATGCTAAGATACTCTCGCATCTGTCAGGCACAAATACTTTCCTCAAAGTACCTCAATAACCATACTTTTCTTACTCCTTCCATGTAAAATGGGTATTCCTGGGATCATTCAGGACACTTGGGCCTAATACACACAAGTTTCTTGTCAAAACTATATGTAAAATATTGTAGCTTGAATAGTACTTTAAATATTATTTGAAAAAACAAAAAATACTTGTACTTACTTCCATATTTGAATTATAAACCATTTAATGAATTTTAAATTTTTTTAAAGAAATAATAAGGCTAATAGACTGCTCTTTTACCAAACAACAAAAAATTGTCCCTTGGGAATTTAACAGAATTAGCTAAAAACAATGTTTCCAAGGAACCCCAAATCTGTTGAATAAATGCCAATGCATATAGTGTAGCAGAAAATGTAATGGGCTCAGGATTAAAAGACCGTGATTTGAGTCTCAGTTCTGCTTCTACTATGTGACCTTGTGCAAGTCACCTCACCACTCTGGCTCTCCAATAAGGGGATTTTACTAGATTATATTTAATGAAGGCCCTTTATGCCGATTTCCCTTTGGATCAGTATCAACTCAGCAGTTCTCTATGACACAGCATCAGCTAATAGGAAAAGGAAAGAGGGTACTAACAACCTGTTGATCCAAATTACTATTGCGTAAGTATTTATCGCAAACTAAAACTCAGCCAACAAAGAGAGATTATTTGTGAGCATGTGATGCATGATTATATCATATGAAATTATTTCTTGGAATCACAGATTAATTAGGACATTTTTTGGTTTCCTGCCAGTAACAAAATGCAAGTCCACAAGTGATTTACCTCCCACTAAAGCCTTGTGTTTGAACAACTACTCTTTTGCACATTCATGCCTCAAAGAGTCCTGAGGAATCAGAAACAAAAACTTTTCCCCTATATCAATGGCAATACTCTTTCTCATCCTTCCTAATAGGCTTTCCTAGGTCACTAGAAGTATTTAGGTCTATATGTACTCTCCACCAAACAGTGTTGGGAAATTTTCCTTTCTTCTTTATTGCCGAATTATTTACCCATGTATACCTATTATTTGTGTCATTATTATTATCGTTATTATTTTATCTTATATCTTAGTTACCTCTGCTTTCAATCAAGAAGTCAATTTCTTTTCAACATTCACTCAAAATATTTTAAATTTATGAATATTCAATACTAGGCCATTTTAAATGGAAAACCTTTGGATTTATTTTAGAATTTTACTTTTTATTTTATTTTCATGCCCTTTTTTTTTCCTATAATTTTCCCCTTAAAGCTTCTACCAAAAATGCATCTTTACATTTACTGGTTTCATATTTTAAAGTAAAAGTTGTGTTCTTTTCTCAAAAATTTTCAGGCCTTCGTCCATAAATAAATAATAAGAGGAAAGGAAAGTGAAAAAAGGAGATAATAAATATAATGTACATAGAAAAAAAGAAACTGAAAAATTACAAACACTAACAATTTTTAGCTGGCCTGGAGAATAGTTCAAGAGGTACTTATCAGGATACAAAAAGCCTTGAAAAAATACTGTAATGTCAAATTAACAGAAGAGTAGAGTTAAGAGAAATGATCTGAAAATATGATAGTGCTTATTACCTTTATGAAAGGGAAAGCCAGGCAATGCAAAATAGCACACAATAGCAGATGAAATTAGGGATCACTGAAAACCAATAAGGAAAAAAAAACCATAGTAAAACAGAAGAATAAGAGAACAAGTCAAAGAAGCCATTAATCTAAGAACCATGGAGACTGACCTTGCTGTCTTTAGGATTCCATACCATAGATACATCTTAAAAACAAGACCAATTTATTATAAGACATATTTTAGACACTTCAATAACTCAAACTCCTCTGGGACAAGATCCAAGGCAGAATTATATTATACCAAATTGTTCTCAACTCAGAACAACATTACAGTAAGGTTCTAGTGCATTACAAAGTAGGTAAGGAATAAAAAGAATAAGAAATGAAAAATTAAGGCCAGCACAAATCAATATGTGAGAAGATAAGAGAAATGCAGTAAGCCAAGATTAATGCAGAGAAGAAATATGAGAGAAAGAGGACAGAGAAAAAAGGAGATCAAGAAATGAAAAATATATCAACATACAGAAGAAATGGAAACCTCAAACTGAGACATCTACTGAAAAACTAGACAGAAAAATGAGGAGGAAAAGAATTTAAAAAGGATAACTCACAAAAAAATCACATGGCTTTACCTAATATTTTATTAACGTATTTTTAGACTACTGGAATCTCAACAGTGGATCTGTAAGAAGAAACCCCTAGGAAAAATAATTAAACAATACCAGTGGCCTGTTATATAAGCACAATAGGTACTTATCAAAGACTTATTTATACTTCAAGTTTTAAGAAAAGAATAAAAACATATCAAAAACATTATAACCTAAAAGAATTGCCAGACTCCATTCTTCCCATTTAAAGTAAGCAGTTTTCAAATTAAACAAAGTACAAAAAATTAATTTCACTTAAAGTTAAATGGGATGAAATGAGTTCTTTCCCCACTTCTATCCTAAAAATAGCATACTGCTACAAAGTAACAAAGGAAAGAGAAAAAACCTTTTAGAGCTATGTGGAACAAATGGCCCCAATATAACACGTGTAGAAATTTTACTTATCTTGCATATATCCCTAACTTTGCAAGTCAGGAAATTTTCATTTAATAATAACAAGAATAACTCCATAATCTACTCAAGTTTTTAAATCACACTGTTTCTTGCTGAAACAATGGTATTAATTTGAACAAACTGCACACACCTTAGTGATTCTGGATACCAGTTTAACAGTCACTAAGAGGTTGACACTGACCTAAACTGGCAAAGTGAGTGATGACTAAATTGACAATCTCAAATCCTGGAGTAACTTTACTCAGTGCTGCATGGTTTACATAAGAAACATTTAGTTGTCTTTGCTAAGATAGTTAAAACACACAAACAAACACACACACACACACACACACACAACTTGTTTGGAATCAACTGCTGGTACAATATTATTTCCTCACACAAATCACATACAGATATGCCCCTCTTCTAGACTCTGCCTATTTATGGCCCTGTTAATCCCTTTCTCGGCTCATTTGCCAGCACAAGCTATATTTTTAAAGTGTATGTTGCCTTTATCTGGATATTGACTGAATGGTTAAGTAAAGAGAAAAAACAAAAGATGCAAACAGGTCCTTGCTAGACAGTAAATGATAAGAACACTATTTCGATGAGACAGAAAATGGGCCCTATTTATACTGAAATAAGAAAGCCCAAACTCAAAAGTCTAAAATTCTTTATCCACTCAAAATCAAAACTCTTAACATCCTCTCTTCCTTGACTCTGGGAAGCTCATTAATACAGTTATATTGCTGAGAACCTCTGAAATTCATGCTCCTTTAAAAAAAAAACTCCCAAAATGTGGCTTATCTCAAGGGGAAAAAAAAGTTCCTATCCACATATGGAAGCAATAGAGTTGGAGTAAAAGAATGTGGGTTCAAATTGTGCTTCTAATTTACTACCTTTGTGACCACAGGTACAGTTACCCTCGGCGGGCCTCAGTTTCTTCATTTGTCAAATGAAGAGGTTGGACCTAGCTGATCTCAAAAATACTCTACTGTCCTCAAGACTGGACCTGTGACCCCTACGTTCATAAACTCGCTTGCCACTGCCCACTCTGAAATCCTGCCTCTTTCCCGAGGGTGCTGGGGGTGCGGGGATGATTGCCTTACGTACTCAAAGCCCTCCTTTGCGGGGCGCTCTTCTGGATCCCCTAAAACATGAAGGCTCCCACCCCACAGCTGTGACACAGTGTTCAATCTCCTCCAGCTCAGGCGCCCCTCTCCCAGCCCCGCCCCCACCCCCTTCCTCCCCCCACTCGTACCCAGCCACCCACCTCCTCCGCACGGCCCCGCACCCACTCACCCACACGAACAAGCTGTCGGACAGCAGGTACTGGGCCACGTCCCGGGCCCGGGGGCCGCCGGGGCCCGGCGGGGCGCTGGTCCGCGGTGGCTGGGGTGGCTGCGGCTGCTGAGGCGACGTGAGCGCCTCGGGCTCTCCTGGGCCGGCGCCGGGGCCCGGCTCGGGCTGCATGAGGGCGCGATAGGCGCTCACGATGGTGCCCAGCAGCGCCAGGCCGCTGAGGCCCGTGTAGGTGCGGAGCTGGCCAGGAGCGCTCAAGTGCATGGTGCGGAGGGGAAGGCGGCCCTGGGCCCCGGGCCCTGGCCTCGCCTCGCAGGCCCGGGAGCTGCCTCCCTTCTTCCTTCCCTCCCTTGCTCCCGCCCGCGCAGCCTCCTCCAAACGACAGCGACGGCGACAGCGCTCCTCGGCTCCCCGCCTCCCCGCCGCTCGCTCCCGCTACTGCCCCTGCCGGCGCGGAAGAGCCTCGGCCACAGGGCCGGCGGCCGCCCCCCCGCCCCGGGGCGGGACCCGACGGGCCTCGGGCCGCTGCGAGCCGCGGAGGCCCGAGCCGCCCGCCTCCAGGCTGGGGTCGCAGGCGGCGCCGTTGACCGTCTCTCCTCCGCCTCTAGAGATCATAAACCCCTGCGGGCTGGACGGGAGAAGGGAAGAGCCAAAATAGCTCCGGGGAAAAGTTGTCGCGGGAAGGGCCCCGGGGCAGGTAGAGCCCCGCGCTTTACGGAAACCGAGGAACGTAGTGACGGCTCATGGGCACGGGAGGGAGGGAGGCGGGGGGGGGGGGCGGAAGGAGAGGAGCCAAGACTAGGGGAGGGCCACCTGACTCCTGGCCCGGGCTGGCGTAGTGGCGCCACGCCCCGAGGCAGCCAAGGTCAGTTCGGCCTGGCCCGAGCTCTGGGCTGTTCTCGGCCTCCCGGGCCGGTGCCCCACGAGGCCCCCCCCCCAGGAAGCTGCGGTTGCTGAGTGGTTCCACGGGAATTTCCCTGCCGCCTCCCTTCTTACTCTTCGAAATTAACAAAATAATTTAATAAACTTCTGTCTCCTGTGTTAAGTTCGGAAAGATTACGTATCCTCGAAAACTAACGTTTTTTTTAAAAGTCGAAAGCTGCTAAGCACAACACCAACTTCATTCTTGAGGGCAGTGAGATGGCTGTGGTGGCGGACTGGGAGCCACAGAGCCGGAGTTCAAGTTTCCCCTCAAGACACTTCGAAGCTTGTGACCCTGGACAAGTCACTTACCCTCCCTCAGCCTCTGTTTCTTTATCTCTAAAATGAATATAATAATAGCACCTACATAAAAGGGTTACCGTGAGGATCAAATGACCTTTTACAAACATTAAAGCATAGCTGTTATTAGGATCATGGATTAAGAGCTGCATAGAACTGTAGGGATCAACAGTGCTTTGAGGGCAGCTAGATGACTGGACCAACAGAGTGTTGGGCCTAGTACTTTCTTCCTGAGTTCAACTGTAGCCTCAGACCCTTACTGGTTGTGTGACCCTGGGCAAGTCACTTAACCCTGTTTGCCTGTTTCCTTATGTGTAAACTGAGCTGGAGAAGTAAACAGCAAATCACTCCAGTATCTTTGTCAAGAACACCGCAAAGGGGACATGAACAGCAGACACAAGTGAAACGACTCAACCACAGTACTTGGCTTAAAAGTGCTTTTCATTCACTCAACCGCTGCAGATTTAACAGAAACATAACTATTTGTGCAACTACAATGGCACAGAAAAAAGGAATTAACTTCTTAAGACCTAGACAAAACACCACTCCCGAAGGAATGATTCACTGTAACGGTAGAAAGAGATATATTTTCCAACATATCCACTACAATACAAATTCGCTTAAGCTTTGACGATATCTGTTGCCAAAGAGGGCTTTCACTGTCCAGGAACATAAAGGAAAGCAGGGACATTGATACAGAAATGTCAGTAAAAAAAAAAAATTCTAAACACTGAAGAAAGCAAATTCAGAGGGGGAAATAGACAAGTGGTGTGATGTCAGAACTACCATACTAAATGTCATTTTCAAAACAAGCTCTAACACATATGTGGTTTCACACTTGATCCCCATTTTATCACAATTGTATATGGATATATATGTTCATGTTTGAAGATTTTCTTAGTCTTTTTTTTTTCCCAAAGTGGAGCTGCACTGTCAATTTACAGTGAGAACTACCTAGAAAAACAGGCAGTATGCAGCAGTGGAGAGAGCCACTTTAGGAGAGTTTAGGCAACCTTAAACCCTCCTGCCCTCAATTTCATCAGTGTGATGGTTGGACTAGAGGTTTAAAGTTATCAGCCAAATGTAAATCTTATGACCTGGCTTAATATTTGTTTAAGTAAATTCCCCTAACAGCCAGTTATTTATTCCCTGGGCTTATCAGAGTCCTAAAAAATGAAGGTGCTTACAATCAAATTACGTAATTTCATCTCTGGACTAAACACTTTTGTATTGTCTTCATTCCATCATGAAGATGACTTTTTAAGCACTTGCGCTCTCTCCAATGTTGACACACTGCAGTATTTCTACCCCCATAAACTGATAGGAAAAATGGCAGGATCCAAGACTATTTTTCATTTAAATGCTAAATACATGGCTGTTAAGTGTAGGTAAGAAAATTACTTGTTTCAGTCCAACAAGGTTCTGTTTTAGAAAAGCAGTAAGAGCACAGCATCATGAGCTGGAAGGAACTTTGCAGAATCCCTAGTCCAACTCATTTTACAGATGAGGAAACTGAGGCCTGAAAAGGAAAAATAACTTATCTAAGTTCAAACCACTATTACAGCCAAGATTTGAACTCAAACCCAGCATGTAGAACTCTTTTTACCATACTACACTGCCTTTTACCGAGTTCCTCAAAATAAGTTAAAAAGGTAATAATCTTTTTAAAGAAGTTCTTCTTATGTACAGGGCAACTATAAACCCTGGTACTAATTTAAAAATCATCTAAACCCTCTACTGCACACCATACCAGTTCTGTGAACCTGGGCAAATCACGTACATTTTCCTCTTCTAGGTGTGCCTATCAGTTGCAGACCTGCATGAAATCACAGGTGCAGTCCCTATCATAAACCCTCTCAAAATTCAAGCCACAATACATTTAGTTATGGGAGATGTTCCCAATAGGCTTAATACCCTACAATTATATGTAAAGGAAATTGCTGTCAAAGTACTTTCAGTTTAATACTATATATCACACTATTTTTCCACATTTTAAAATACCAAGTGACACTTTTTCCTCTTTTTAAAAACCAGTTTATAAATTCCAACTCCTCTATATTTAGCTTTACACAAATTACAACTCCTCAGAATAAAATCTGCATTGAACCTAACTTCTATTTCTCATGTTCCATTTTGCAAAGAGATTGACCTTTCTGAACATTAAATGTGGGATTAGTTTAAGTGGTTAACATATTTCACAAGTGGGTACATATTAATGTTAATTTCAAACATCGGAATTTAATGAATTTTTGCGTTGGGAGTTCACAAAACTATGGCAGAATTTCTAATGGGATAAAAGTGGTTGAGAATACAACGGGACCTGTTCCTCAACATTCACAGAATCTTTTTGTTTTAAATGATTTTTATTTAAAATGACAAAGAGAATAGCAATGATCTTTTAAACTAAGCTCTTGCATTCTATATATAAAAATAAAACCAGAACTTGTTTCTTTACACTGTTTCTAAAAACTTAGCACACCTAATAGCTATTGATGCCAAACTAAAAATTTGCACACATTTCCCCTTTATAGTCTCTAAAAACTTAACATTAACTGCATTTCCCCCCGTGGCTTAACATCCTAACAACAGCACATTCTTCCCTGCTTACAGTTCCACCTTTATAATGCAATTTGTCACTAAAACACAAACTATTTATACAGAGTAGTACTAGCTTTTAGCATCAGGTTTCAAGCGGTTTCTCAGAGAAAAAAAAAACTTGCCAAGATGCTGAAGTGACCTGCAAATGCTATTATTATTAGAATGGACTTTACAGACCAATTCAAATGATAAATGGCTTTTTCATTCTTTAATCTTTAAATGATTGAGGCAAACACCAACAGTCCAATTAAATGCAATCAAATAATGCTTAAGTGATGAGAAATAACTGGAAAAAGTAAGAAGCATTCTTCTATTATAAAATGCAGAGATGGTATTATTGTAGTTCTAAAGACTTCTTTCAACTTTCTTTGGCAAAACACACAAAGCAGCAAGCTTCTTGATCTTGTCTTAGGGATCAGCACAATTTGTTCAACCATTATTAACTAACAAAAAATGTTAAGCCTCACAAAATCAGGTATGCAAAAGCTACTCCAAGGATACGATCTCAGGGACACTGTAGTGCATATGAGACTAAATGCCTTAAAAAACAACTAGGAACTGAAAAATCTATGTACTTCACTTTTCTAAGTTTAGAAAGATTTTCATTTAGAACAAGCTGTGAGCTATCAAATGGACTGATTCCTTGTCAGCTTCTGTCATTTGGAAAGCCCCATTCTTTCTTAACCTAAGATTGAAAAGTATAAATCCACTAAGCAAATTGAGTCACACTCCTTCCTGTGCAATGTTCAAAGGTTAAAATTTTACTTAAAAGTACCATAAAAAAATAACGGCAAGTTACAGGGATGGCAGTCATTTATGATAGAAAAATTTCTCCATCTACTACATTAACTTGGCATTTTCTAATTAGTATTATCATACTGCATTTTAATTACTTAGTATACAGAGTTTCACAAATTTTAGTGCTTCTAAAGCTTTAGGAGCCTAAAGACTTTTACACTGAGGCTTTTGGAATACTAGCTTATACTAGTTTATTTTTATAATCAAGTAGATTCGTACATGAAAAAAATTTAGGCCATATAAAAAGCTTGTTTTGACAATGAAGATCTTAAGGCAAATGAATATAGATTTTACATTTTCCTCTCCAGTCTATTGAATACTTTAAATGATATTCTGAATTCGCTATTCAGCAATGATTATCACAGCCAGAAATATTCAAATTTCCTTTGAATATTCAAAGTGAATGACACTATGTATATTGCAGTTTCAAAATAATCAAACAAGGAACCTAATTTGTCTTTTACCTTTTAAGTGCTCAATAAATACTTGATAAATGAATGTCAATGAATAGAAATTTATTGAACTGGCAATTTAATAAAATAAACCTTATTAAATAAATTTTAAATTAGTATTGAATATATACAAAGAACATGCACTTTACTGTTATTAGTTCACATATCACGGGGACTTAAT